TCAGAACTGGAAAATACCTCCTGCTCCTTTTTTTTTCATGTTTCTATGACTTCTCCCGATACAACTCTGGGATTCCAAGGACAATTATAACACACCTAACCAATTGCAGATCAGGGAGTGAACCTGGGAGTTTCTCTTTGTGACCCAAGTACACATGGATGCCATCAAATGATGCTTCCATCCTGCATTCAAAGTAGCAATGGTTTGTTCACCTTAAAGTAATTTCGCTGAAGCACAACTCTTACAAAACTCTAAAGATTTTGAATTTATTATGCAGATGTGTTCTGTCTCCCTTAAACAGCCTCTAATATGTTTAAATTCAAATAGGTTGAAATTACTGCCAATCCTCCCACCTAATTGAAGCACAAGCAACATTTTAATAAACCTGAGGGCTTTGCTCAGGGAGTGAAGAGTCAATCACACTAATATGAGACTAGAGTTACAAATAGAGCTCACCAGATAAGGGGAACCATGAAGGTGAACCGTACCACTTTAATACACCTCTGAATACAACAGCCAGTTTAAAAGTTTAAATGCAGTGCATCAATTTCTCAAAACCTCAAGAGGCATTCAAAAAAAGATTCAGGTTACAAGCTTTGTAAATGACACTCAGATATCTTTCAACAAATTCAAAGGCATTGAGAGACAATGGGATAACAGTAACAAAGGGTGGGTTTTTGAAACAGAAAGGGGAAAGGAAAAGTGTGATAAGAACAATAAAGGTGAACTTCTACTAAGATTTCATTTAGACAGATGCAGTACAGGTATGCCCCTGAAGGGTTAGGACCTTATGTGAGGTGCACAGCTCTCGAACCTGCTTCAGTCACGCTGACAGGAAGCTGGTGGGTGTAAGTGGAGCTGAGCTGCGTGCTTGCATGTCGGTGCGAGACACTCAACAGCTGGACGAACACGTCAACCGTGGTTTTGCTGATAAAATCGCAGCTGTGTAAAGGTGGGGACTGAGCTGGGTCCAGCGGCAGGTGAGTGGGTGGCAACTAACGGGCTACAGGATGCCACAGAAATCAGATATTTTCCTCCCTGCAGCTGCTGCACTCAGCTAGCACTCCATCGAATAAAACATGGCACTTCCTGTTATTCTCAAACAGCTTTCTAATACAAGCTCACTTCCTCAAAACCTTCCATTGTAGGCCCCATCTATCTCTCATATTGTTTCATCCAGGGGATTCCCTTTGACAACAATCAATTGCCAATTGCATAAAATGTACACTGACAAACAGACCATTCAGCCCAACTGGTCCATGCTGGTGTTCCTGCCCCACACAATCCTCCTCTCACCCCAATTCCTACATCACATTCACACAACCTTCTAGTCCTTTCTTGTCAATATGTTTATCTCACTTTTACTTAAATTCATCAATGCGGCTCCGTGATGTAGTTAGTTCCACATTTTAACCACTCTCTGGGTGAGAAGACTCCTCACGAGTTCCCAGTTGGATTTGCTGGTGATTGTCTTACTGTCAGGGCCCCCAGCTGTGGACCCATCTTCCCTGTATCAGAGATAGATTCTGTCAAAGACGGTGAACAAGCTCTGAACAAGTAATTTGTGTTGAAAGAAGCATTGGATATTACCATACAGTCAATTTGACTCACTTGTGTTCACGCCAGCTCTTGAAAACAGCCATGCACTTATCCCCATCTTGTGGATGTTTTTACATTTCTTCATAAATTGAAAATATGTAATTATGAAATTGTTTACTGTCTTGTGCACACATGCACATACTTCATTGCAGAGTGGTGAATAATCAGGAGTGAGAACAACGGCTGATTTTACACGTCCCTTAACTTTAGGGGTCCATAGTTAATTAAACACTATGACCAAGCTCAATGTGACCAGGTCCTGAACTTGAAACTGCGCTGTGTTAGTAACTCATTGGACTTCAAACAGTCCTAGCAGAGGACATTATCTCTGAATTCTCTGCAGACATCATAGCTGGCAGGAGCTATCCGTGACCAAAATCACAGGGTGTGGTCTGTGCCTGGCTGGTAGCTGCTTGGCATTGATCCTTAACATCAACAACACTTTGTTGCCATGGCAACTCAAGAGAGTCTAATAGAGAAGATACTCTCTGGTCCACGATGATGTCTGACCTTTTTCTTTATCTGGACTAGTTTCATATTCAATAAAGAGAAATAATTTGCATTTACACAGCACCTTTTATGAACTCAGAATCTCTGAAAGCACATTACAATCAATGAAGCACTTTTTGAACTGCAATCCCTCTTGAGTTATAGAGAACACTGCAACTAACTGATGCACATCATCTCCCCCAACAACAGTACAGTTTTGGCCAGATATCCTATATTAGTGATGTTGGTCGGGAGATTAATATTAGACAGGCACTGAGGTTCACCATTGACATAATGCTAGACCTCATTTTAACACCTTAACCAAAAGTCATTGTTCCCTCTGATTGTACTTGAGTATCAGCCTAGATTTTCTGCTCAGGGCTGTACATGGGGCTTGAATCCACATCCTTCTGACTAAGAGACAAAAGCAAATCCAACTGAACAACAGTTAAAACATTCATTCCAATCTTCTATTGGCCACTCCTTTACCTATTATCCCTATGCACTAATTTCCCAATCTCTCCCCAATATTTTGAAGCCTCCAAAAAGTCGTTGATCTCGGTCCATACCTTTGCTGTTCCATGGAAATAATTTAACAGAGTGCCCACTATTCCCCATCATCACTAAAATATTTTGAGGTCCATTCTGTCTTTGAGAAGGGTTACAAAACTGCAAGCTACTTCACTGAGAAATACGTTGGGAATTATACCCAGGAGCAAGTCACAGATGCTAGCTCAGGTTTGTTGTGGTGTTAGGCACCATCTGCTACTAAACTGGCAGCATTAGTATGTACCAGAGTTGCCCTCTCTCTCAATACCAGCTGTCATAAGCAGCTATTTGCTTATAATTATCAAATGTTTACTTCCAAGCATCTAACATTCTCATTTTCACTTTCTGTGGCTTTCCAAATTTGGTACTCTGCTTTTCAAGTTATTTTTATAGAGGTAAGTAAGTGGAGGTCAGAATCCAGCTGATATAAACTTTGCATCTTTCTCCCAAGGACAGAGATAATTCTACCCGGTGTTTTCACTTCCTCTTCTGAAGATGTGCTGATTCTTTTTATAGGAACAGGAAGAGGTCTTCCAGCCTGTGAGCCTGTTCCAACATTCAGCCAGATTATGGCTGATCACGATTTCATCTCTATTTACCTTTGTTTCTTATCCCTTGATGCATTTAAGTTCTTGATTTTTAAAAGAAAAATGCCTGGCTTTGACCATCTTTAGAGGGAGAATTCCAGAGTTTCACTACTCTGAGTCTGGAATAATTCTTCCTGATTTCATTCCAAAAATGACCTGGCTGCAAATTCATAGTTGTGTTCCCTTATCTAAGAGCCCAAAGCTCTTGATAACAGATTATGAAACAAAATTTCACACAAGCCACATAAGGACCTGGATGGGATACTCTTTGGAGGGTCGGTCTGGTCTTGATGGACTAAATGGCCTGCTTTCACACCGTAGGGATTCTATGATTCTGAGGGTGAGGTTTACCAGAGTGAAATAACTTTTTTCTGATATGACAGAGAAATTAGCTCGGCTGCAGATGTCTTTAGGAGCTGGTAGCCCAAAGGTTAATGACATTTTCCCAAATGTTCAACTCCCCATAAAGCTCATCCTGAACTGTGCAATGTCTTTCAAAGTTGCATGCAGACTTGAGCTTTTTTAAGCAAATGACACTAATTTCATTTTTGAAAATAAAATCACACGTAAAGATTAAAATAGACCCACAAGAAAGGACGTGTCACTGAGAGAGAGATAAGAATGAAGTGGTTTGGTTCCAATCTTAGTTGGAGAGGTGAAAGAAGACAAGCCAGAAAAAACCTTGTTCACTAGCACTGAACTAACAAAGTTCCAGTAGAAAAGGATATTTCAGTTATTGGAAAGATACAGAAGACTGCAAACAGAAAAATTGATGGGCTTGGAATATGAGAGCAATATAAATATATCAGGTATGTTCTCAATGGAACAGAGAGCCTCTAAAGGGTTTAGATTTTGCTATCATGTTAAACTTTTTAACCTTATCTGGAATAGTAGACATAGAGGATCTGGCTTGTGCTTGCAGAGCATAGACTCAATACTGATCCGTAAATGCAAAATTATTGTGAGCTTATGGAACAAACTCCCTTGGAAGGTGGTGGAAACAGTTATGAACATCTCAATGCTATTTTCTTGCACTGTCTCCAAATCCCTCAGTCAAAAGTCTCTGGAAACCTGTTGATTTCTGTCTTGAAGATACTCAATGTACCCTCTAGGGTACAGAGTTTGAACAGTTCACCACCCTCTGAATGAAGAAATTGCTGCTCATCTCTGACTTAAATGGCCTGCCTCATATCCTGAGATTATGTCAGCTGTTCTAAAGTCAGCAGCCAGGGGAAATAGCCTGTCTGTATCCATCCTGTCATGCCTTATTCAAATTTTGTACATTTCAGTGAGAGCACCTTCTCATTTGTGAAAATTCTCAGCCCAGTTTTCTTCATCTGTCCTCAGAAGACAGGTTAATATTGGTTTATTCAAATAGAAGTTAGATAGATTTCCATCAGAAGTAGCATTTTGGGTTACAGTGCATGAGTAATTTGGTACTGATTTCTGGTAACTGTAACAAGTTTGGGAGGAACTGTGGCTTTGTGCTTATAGTTCCCAAAGCTTTCCAGCACTGGTGCTATCCTCATCTCATGCCTTGGTCTTTTGAAGATTATTTGTATCATATTTGTTTCTGAGTGGTTGGGGTATAGTGATGCTGCCAAACTTAATTTCTGTTCTAAGTATAAGGGCCTGACTAATTATCAGTGATGTAGGATAGACCACAGTGAGTCTTGACTAGAAATGATACTTGTCTTACATAACATGAGGCCATTCATTAAATGATGCAATCGATACAACTTACACAGTTAGACATAATTAGTCAAGACCATCAAAAGCCAGAGATGACACGTCTCTGTTGGGCATTCTTGTGCAAGGCTTTTTTTTATTCACATATGGGATGTGGGCACTGGTAGTTAGTCCAGCATTTATTGCCTGCCTCTAATTGCCCTGGAGAAGTTGATGGTGAGTTGCCTTCTTGCAGTACAGCAGTCCTTAGGGTGTAAGGACATTCAAAGTGCAATTTGGAAGGAAATTACAGGATTTTGACACAGCATCAAGAAGGATCAGGGATATAGTACCAAATCAGAGTAGTTTGTTGCTTGGAGAGGAACTTGCAGATGATGATGTTCCCATGCATTTGCTGCCCAGGTCCTCCTAGATGATAGAGATCGTGAATTTGAAAGGTGCCACTGAAGAAGAATTGCTGAGTTACTGCAGTACATTTTGTAGCTTGTATACACCGCTGTTACTGTGTGTCAGTGGTGAAGAGAGCAAATATTGATGGTGGAGGGTGGACTGCCAAACAAAATAGCTGCTTTGTCCTGGATGGTGTTAGGCTTCTTGACTGTTGTTGGAGCTGCCCTTCTCTGAGTCAATGGAGAGTATTCCATCACACTCCTGCTTTGTGACCAATGGAATGGTTGACATACAATGAAGAGACAGAAGATAAATTCCCACTGTTTGACCAGCACATGGAGCCATTGCATTTATATTGCTGAACAGTTGAGTTTCTGTTCAATGACAGACTGGAGAATGTTGTTAATGTAGAATTTAATAATAGTAATACAACCGAACATCAAGGGGCAATGGTTATATTTTCTTATGTTAGTGTTGCTTAGCACCTGTGTAGCATGAATGTTATTTGCCATTTATCAATCTAAGCCTGGGTGTTTTCCAGGTCTTGCTGCGTATGGAATGGGACCTTTTACTTTCACCTGATGGAAGCTTGGCTTCACATCCATCTGAAAGATAATTCTTCTGACAGTGCACCTTCAGTGGAATTTGAACACAGTCTCTCTCGCTCACGGGGGAGA